CTCAGAGCCGACCCCAGGGGGTTTAGGGGTTGAGGGTTTAGGGTTCAGGGATTAGGGTTCAGGATTTAGGGATTAGGGTTGAGGGTTTAGGGTTTAGGGGTTTAGGGATTAGGGATTAGGGGTTTAGGGGTTTAGGGGTTTAGGGGTTGAAGGGTTTAGGGGCTAGGGGTTAGGGGTTTAGGGGTTAGGGTTGAGGGGTTTAGGGGTTTAAGGGTTTAAGGGATGAGGGATTAGGGGTTTAGGGGTTAGGGTTTAAGGGATTAGGGATTAGGGGTTTAAGGGTTTAGGGATTAGGGTTTAGGGTCTTTGCTGTCTTGGGGGGTAGGCAATATTGGGATAATATGGGAGAATATGGGGAGAATGGAAAAGAAAATGGAAACTACTATTATATATTATTTATCAGAAGGTTCAAACGGTGGTGTGAAGGAAGGTGGGGTACAGGAAATAAGCCCCAATATAGTAGAGTATGTACTAGGGATCCTTGAACCCACCTACCTTCAGCCCACTTTTTGAGCCCTCTGAAGTTCAGGGTTTAGGCCCAGACTCCTTTGAATGGGATAGGGCTGTACAATAATCCTGCATGGCTTTAAGTACCTTGGTCGGGGCAAGAGAAACTCCACTCAATCGGTCGCGTCAGGAGTCAGAATACTTGGTTGCTGTTAAGGAACTTTTGAAACAAGGAACCTTGTTATTGACTATACCTATATGATGCTAATTACTTTAAGTTCCTGAGCAGCAACCCAGTTCAGCTTCTAGGAGTTGCCAGGAGAAGTACCATACTACGGATCCTTCAGCACGAAGAGCAGGTTTGTCGATGTAGCATACTACTTCTATACACTGGTTCTGAAGGAAGCAGAATGAGAGGTTCACTTGTTACTTACTACCGACAGTGGCTACGTTGAGCCTCTCTGATTTGTACCTGGAGTGAATGTTTCTTCAGAGCTTCCAACAGTTTGGGGTCCCTTTTTGGGGTTCCCATAATTCCCGTAATCATGGTATCTGGAGTGGTTCCCATTCGTGGAAACTCACACATGGAGATAGCAGTATCCCGATCCAACAGACGTCAGACTATATGTTCTCATGTTCTGAGACAGCATGATGTGAGCCGTAGTCTAAACTCCTTGAAAGGGGTTATATGGAGGGTTATATACGGGATGATAATAGGGAAGTATTATGGCTCATATGACAAACAGCTGATTGAGCTCATACTCACTGCCAGACTTCATCTACGAAATTTAAGATAAGAAGTTCTCAAAATCCAGGGTCTCACATTTAGACCCCCTACTTGGAGGTCCGTTTTACTTATAACCTACTTAGTAACTATAGTTGTAACCCAATTATATCTAAGGTAACTGTAGTTCTGGGACTTATAATTACGTTATAAGCACAGTTACTCAGCAGGTTACAAGTACAGTGGACCTCCAAGTAAGTGCTGTTATCTGGAACCCTTCATGCTTCTTTGCACACACACAGACACCCCCCCACATCTCGTGCCTAGGACTGGTGGGATTCGAGGGGGGGTAGTACAAGGTTTTTGTTCAAAATGTTCTAGGTTGTTGTTAAAGAACTTCAATTAAGTTACTATAACAAGACGCCACCATTATGTACTACATACCTACAATATGGTAAAATAAATCAGTTCCTTGACGGCAACCCAGTACTTGAAGGCGCAGGGGACTGAACGGCTGACTACCTGTTTGACATCCCGGTTTCAACCGGTTGCCAGCGTGGATAGACAAAATCCTGTAACCTAAACTCCTGCTCTCGTAGCACAGGATCATTCAGTTCTGTCTATCAACCATACGTACCACAAAACCTCCAGGCATGAACAGCCAGCGCCATTCACCTTCATGGTGTATAAGCGGGAACAGATGAGAGAATATAGTTACTACCATAGCAGGTTACATGGGAGTTTCCATAAACATGGGACACTAAAACCTCGAATATGTTGTAGTCCTCATTAGAGATACCCCCAAAAAGGTACCCCATATGGAGATTCTTCTGGGGATCCATGGGAACATACTTAGTACTGCAGAAGATTGTTGTAGGAATCAATTCCCCTCCCCCCAAATGTAAAACACCCTAAACCTTACAAAAACCCCTAAAACCTACAAAAACCCCAAGCACACCAACCACTAAACGCTCCAAGGCCCCAGGCTCCAGACACCCCAAACAGCCTAACCCCCTAAGTACAAATAAGTCACTTCTCTGAACCCTAACACGAAACCTTAAACCCAAACCCTAGACCCTCTTCACATCAACTCCCCTACTCCAAAACCTGAAACACCCTAAACCCTGCAAAGAACGAAACCTTAAACTCACTCAAAACTAAGCGCCCTAGCAACAAACACCCCAGCCTCTAAACACCATAAACCCCTCTAAGCACACATAAGTCACCTCCCTAAAGCCCAAACCCAACCCTAACCCTAAACCCTAAAACCCGAAACCCTAAACCCTAAAACCCTAACCCTAAACCCTTACCCTAAACCCTAAAACCTAAACCCTTACCTTAAACCCCTAATCGCTCTTCACAGGTGAGGGTGCGGACTCCAAGCCCGCCTTGGCCCTGAAGGCCAAGATCCATGGCTACCTGGACGAGGCGCAGAGTTCAGGGGTTTAGGGATTCGGGGTGTAGGGATTAGGATTTAGGGATTAGTTTAGGGTTTGGGAGTTAGAGTTTAGGATTTAGGGAGCTAGAGTTTAGGATTTAGGGATTGGTTTAGGGTTTAGAAGTTAGAGTTTAGGGTTTAGGCGTTCGTTCAGAGTTTAGAAGTTAGAGTCTGGGATTTGGCCACCAGGGCGTTGAGGATTTCCAGACTATGTTTTACCGGGATGTTCAGGGTAGTTACAACCCAATTGTTCTTGTGACCATCACACACCTGTAACCATTCAATGGGACTTGGAGTGTTTGGAATTGGATAGGGATCAGGTTTGGGCGTAGGGCTTGAGGGTTTTCGGTTTGTCCCTTTTTGGTGCAGGGCTTACAAATACTGAAAATTTGGAGGGTGAGGAGCCAGGGAGTTAGGGATGTGTAGGGCTCAGGATTTTGTATTGTGAATCCAGGGAAACCAAGGCTCTTTCCCAGATCCTTTGAAGCACCCCAACAAAGTCATGCCCTAAGCAAGCCCCTGTGTGGGCATGTCCAAGAATATAGGAAACTTAGAGTAGATAGGGATCTACATTGCAGATGGCAGCTGAATATCATAAGGCGGTCTCTACAAAATGGGCCTGACCCATGGCCGTACGAACAGAAGAACTTGAGAATGTAAGAACTGATGAACACAAAAACAATTAAACCATAAACCCTGTTCCCTGGCAGCCTCCCCCGTACCCCACTGCCCTTCAGCAGTAAAGCCTGCACCCTAGCTGAGGTCCGCTCCGAGGACGCCAAAACGTCATGATTAGCCTATGTATGATGAATCTGAATACTGGCGTAAGACGGCATAACCCTAACTTCGCAATGATACTGGTCCATGTATTTGGTAGTTTCCCAAATTTTGGGAAACCCCTTTTGGGTTGCTTGTGCAAGTTGGGGAAGCTCTTTAAACTCCCAAACCATGAACCCCAATCCTTGAATCCGAACCCTCTAACCCCCTGAACTCAAAGTCGAAACATGACCTTAACCCTGAGTCCCTAAATTCCTACCACGCCCTAAAAGCCTGAGCCCCAAAAACCCCCAAGTCTCTACACTCCTAAAGACGCCACCCCTAAGCCCTAAAAGCCACTAGCCCTACACCCTAAAACCCTAAACCCCTCAATCCTGAAGCCTCAGACCCTAAACCCCTAAACCCTACAACCCCAACCCAAGCGCCCCAATGCCCCGAGACCGAAAAGCTGAAAGCCGAGTTAGACTCCGGCGAGGCCCTTCCTGGGAAATCTTCTTTGTGCGATTCGTTTCGGGGGAGTTCAATATAAAGGGGAGGGTATTAGCTTACTGGTGGTTAGTAGGGAATATGGGAATATTATCCCTATATAACAACAATATAATAGATTCCCTTATGCCCTACTAACCCCCAGTAAGTCTAAGGGTGTAAAGAATAGGTTTTGGTGGTCCACTGCGCCATTCCCTTAAGCACTGAGAAGCTTTTGCACAATCATTCTTATGAACGCCCTCCGCGTGCAGAAAGAGTTTTCGCCAAGAAACTACCATAATACATGCCGGACAGTTCGGTACCAACGCTGCTTGGCGTTTCGTCGCCAAGGGGTTAGGTTTTGTTGTAAGGTTTTTGTTGCTACAAGTGCCTGCTCAGCTTTGACCATGCTTGTTATTCCTATTAACTTTGCATGTTTCAAGCAATCGTGGTATTGCCAAGATTAGCGGTGCTCTCATTTCTGGCGATTCTTGTGTTCCCTTTTGACAACCCCAAGGGTAAATTGAATGTAAAGGCTCACTCCTGAGAAATAAGGCATCGATGAGTCTTGTCATGAAGAGCAATACAGATGTTGTCACTTGTATGGGTATCCTCCTGGCTTGTGACACGACTTCTGCTACTCTCAGCACTTGTTCCGTGCTGCTGGTAGTAGCAGCATCAGGCTTCAGGTCCCACATGGAGATGGCATTGTGGTATAAGGGTTATTCGTTCACCCAAAACCGGGTCAAGAAGGGCGCTACGGTTGATATTAAAAATGCTGCATGACCCTGAGTACCATATACCTTTAGGATTTGTATCGCCATTTCGAGGAACCCCCAATCACCACACCAAGACTTGCAGAAGCGCAAATGGCAGGCGTCGAAAGTACCGGACGGGAACCAACTGGTCGGCTCCTGTGAACTCTCTGAGTTTGGGGTTTAGCGTTGAAAGGCTTAGCATTCAGGTTTGAGGGCTTAGGATTTAGAGTATAGGGTGGTTGCTGTATGTATGAAGGCAAAATAAATGAAGAATTCTAATTTCTCATCGTACCTCAGCAATGCTCAAAGTGAGGGATTTGAGGTAGAGGGTTCACTGTGTTTTTTTTTGAGAGACAACATGGCAAAGCCAACATCTTGAGCAAAACTACGCAGCCCTACACCCCAAAGCAGCCGCTGTGTATGGGTTCACAGTGTAGGTTTGGGTTGCCAGCCTTCTTGAGGCTCTTCTCTGGGTAGGCCCCTGGGATATTTAATACTTTCCGTAATGGCTTTCATAGGGGGCCCTATGTATTTATGTGTTTCAAAGGGTTTTAGGGGCCAACCCAGTTCCGAGTGCTTGCAGGATTCAGCTGAACACGGATCTTGGAGAAGCCTGTTGCCTGACCAGTATGAAGGGGTGGTGCGCTGCCCCCTCCCTGAACCCTAAACCCTAAATACACAGAAAAGCCCGGTTGGTACTTCACCTGCTGTCTCACGAGAATTTCCACAAGTTGGAGCCTTCTGCGGTTTTGGGGTGGGTCACAACTCTTTCAGAAACTGCCGGAAGCGGAAGCCCTGACACTATGACAACGTTGCTGTTAAGAAACTAAAATTAGTTTCGTCAAGGGAGAAGCCTTATTATTTATTAAGTACCTATATCATGATAACTTACTCTAAATTCCTTAACAGCAACCCAGATTCTTTGCATTAGCCAAATTCTACCGAACCTCGCTTCTAAACTCCTCAAAGCGATTCATATAGAGATTGTAGAGAGGAGTATTATAGTTTTAATGGAGGGGGATACTTGGAGTGTTTTAGACTATAGCTCATATCGATACCTTCAAGTAGATAGAACATTGGGTAAATGGGGATCTTGTTTTGGTTTTGGGCAATGCCGAATTCTATCTAATGAAGCAGGACTATAATCTCAGAACAGCGTTGTTTGAGGCTTTGGAATCATCAGAACTTGGCCAGTTTATAGAGAAGTGGGCCAACATCTTGTTGGATTTCCCCTTTATTAGGCTAGTATTGGTACGTATGGTACGTATGTTTGGCTTCGTATTGTTATCTTATGGATCCCTATTCATTTCCTGGGGCCACGAAGTCCTTAACCCCATAGAAGATGATGCACCCACGAAAAGAGCAAACCCGAACCAAACACATGATTGACATGAAGTTCCTTTTTGCAGATCTCATTCCGGCATCCACCCAAAATTCTGCTTAAACCCTGATTGATGGCTTGCAAAACCCACTCCCAAAACTAAACCTTGCAATCTTCCTTACACTCTGAACCCTACACCCCAAACCCTTAAACCCTACACCTGAAACAGGCGTTTGTCACGGCTTCATCTAGCGGTAACGGAGCAGGCACCTGAAACCCTACATCCCAAACCCTGAACCCCATAGTCCCTTAGAAGTAGATGGAATATGACATTCGCCAAGATCATAGTAAGAGCCCCACATACCCCATAGTCTATGTACTTAAAGGGACTATGCCCTAAGCCCTGTACCCTACATCCTACACCCTAAACCATATATCTAAATCTACCTTAGGGGGACCATACCCCTGAAGCTCTAAACCCCCAACCCCAAACCCCAAGTCCTGAACGTGTAGGGCTTCGGGCTTAAGAATTTATAGTCCCCCTTAAGTAGATAGAATATGGCTCTGGGGATATTGTACTAAGAACCCCCATATATTCGATATTCTATCTACCTAAGGGGGACTAAAAGACCTAAACCCCAAACCCCATCTTCTATGTAGGGCTTAGAATTTAAGGGTTTAGGGTTTCCGCTGTAAACCTTAACTTACTGGTGGTTAGTAGGGAATAAGGGAATATCATCCCTACATAATCAATATACAAGCCCTATATCATCCTTAAACCCTAAACCTTAGACCCTAAACCTTAAACCCCAAACCCTAAACCTTAAAACCCATATTCTATCTAGGGCTAAGAAGGGTTTTGGGTTTCCACGTAAACCTTCAAACTGGACTCTGAGGCCTTGGACGATGATGTAGATGGATGCCTCGAGCCAGAAACCTCAGAGAGGGCAGGGTCGTGGCTTTAAGGGTTTGAGGGGTTTGGGTTTAGCGTTTAGGGTTTGAGGGTTTTGGGTTGGAGGGTTTAGGGTTTGAGGGTTGCATTAGGGGTATATTAGCCTTGTATTAGGGTTATATCGGGATAATGGAAAATGAGCTGGAAGCTACTACATTATGGGTTGTGGGTTTGAGGGTGTGGGATTTAGTTGGGAGATCCCCGCAAGAGCCCAAAGAATTCACATATAGCGTTATATATGGCTATATAGGGGTTATTTTTATGGGCTTAGGGTTTAGGGTGTGGGATTCAGGATTTTTATTTAGGGTTTTGGATTTAGGGTTTACGCCTTGGAGTGTAGGGTTTGGCATTTCTGCTTTTGGGATTAGGGTTTAGAGTTTGGGGTTTAGGGTTTGGGGTTTCGGGTTTAGGGTTTGGGGTTTAGGATGTTGGGTTGAGGGGGGTTAAGGGCTGAGGCCTTCCACGCATCGAAGGATCCTCAAGTAGGGCGTGGACTCAAGTGATTTTTCTCAACACACGGCGCTGCTGAGCAACGCTCGGCATAATGAAGTCTAGTGGGTCCTAGGTACCTTTTAGAGAGGTGATGTAGGGATGTTTAGTCCCCCGTAAGTAGATAGAATATGGTGTAAATGGGGATCTTAGTATAATATACCCAAAACCATACTCTGTCTACTTAAGGGGGACTATAACCGGATATAGAGGGCTAAGGCTTCCAGAGCCGATACTCCGAGAATAGAGATTCAAACGGAAAAGAACGTGGAAAATAGAATGGATATTTGTTTATTATTTGGATTGAGCCCCCACCGCCAATAGTGGTATATTAGGAATATATAGAATATAAGTACCAGTATCTCTAGTGGTCACGTGAGTGATTATAGCGGTTTATAGGGTTTGGCAGTAACTATACAACCTTAGACCCCATAACCTGGATAATTGGAGCAAACCTGGAACCAAAAGCCTTAAACTATACATTATCCCCAAACTTATGGCCCTGAAGCCCCTACAAACCGGCCAAATCCTAAGCCCAAAACACCGAGCCCCTTTTTGGGGAATCAGGGTTTAGGGCTTAGGGTTTAGGGTTTAGGGTTTAGGGGCCACCCTGCACCCCTAAACCCTCCACCCCATAAGCCCCCCAAGCGCCTAATCCATGAAAACTAGCCCTATATATAGACCCAAAAACGATAACAACGCTAAACCTCTAAACCCAAAGCCCCTAAGTCCCTCAGTCCCTAAACCTTAAACCCCTAAACCTCTAAAACCCGAGCCCCTAATCCCTAAACCTTAAACCGCTAAACCCGAAACCCTATATCGACAAACCGTGCAAGTTTAAGGAAACTCCCATCCCAGTCCCCCTAAACGATCCAAAACATGGAAACCCCCCAAAACTGATCCCAGTACTACATTAGGGGATGATAAGGAGGTTCCAACCCTACCTAAATCCCTCAATCCTGGCACGCTAAACCCTAAGATCCTAAACCCTAAATCGTTCAATCCTGAAGCCCTAGACCCGACCCATAGACCTTAAATCCCCAAGCCTGATACCCTAAATCCATGAACCCTAAATCCCTCAATCCGGAAACCCTAAACCCATAAACCCATAAACCCTCAATTCTGAAACCCTATTATACCCATGGACCCATAACCCATAAACCCTAAGCCCCTAAACTCCTGCACCCTAAGCCCTGAGCCCCTAAACTCCTACACCCTAAACCCTAAAACCCTAAAACCCAGAAACCCTAAGCCCTAAGCCCCCTTTAGTGCTTCTGGGATGCTTTACCCTCCGAGGCGAGGTGAGGACCTCATCCTCTCGGGGCAGAAACTCGCATCTCGACATCTTTTGGGGTCTTTATGGTTTTAGGGTTTAGGGTTTCGGGGGTTTTGGGTTTTGGGCTTAAGGTTTAGAGGTCAGGGGTTTAGAGGTTAGGGGTTTATGGGTTTTAGGGGTTAGGGTTTGGGGGTGAAAAAATCATTATTTAGGGTTTGGGGGTGTGATTTTGGGTTTAGACTTCTACAATTAAGGAAACTTAGGGGTTTATGTGTTTAAACGGTTTTTATCATATTGCGACAATTTATGATAGGACCCTCATTTTAGTCTTAAGCATTCCGAGGGCTGGCCAAGGTTCAGGAGATTGTGGGTGTTGAGGGTTAGGGGTTTACTTAGGAAATTTATGGGTTAAGGGGTTTATGGATTTGGGGGTTTAGGGCTTACGGGTTTAGGGCTATAGGATTGAAGGGATAGGGTTCAGGGGTTTAGGATTTAGGGTTTTTTGGCGTTGTTGGGTGTTCGGATTTAGGGGGTTAGGGTTTAAGGCTGTAGGATTGAGGGTAAGTTTAGGGTTTCAATGTGGAGGCCTTTAATGGGATGTAGGGGCTATGCTGGGACTTCATAGAGCTTATGGCAGGCCTTCAAGGGTTTGTGAGGGCATATCGGGATATCACATGGTTTGGGGTTTAGTGATCTTAGGGCTTCATGTAGAGGCCTTGGAAAGTGGTATGAATGTTACACTTGGAGTCCGTAGGATTCAGGATTTACCGGTTTGAGGATGTTGGGGTTGGTGTAGGGCTTGGGGCTTGCGATTTAAGAGTTCCGGGCTAGGGTTTAACCCCTAAACCCTAAACCCAGACCCAGCCCGGCCCTAATTAACCCGTAAACCCTTATCACAGTCCCCCTTAAGTGAATTTGGGGTTTAGGGTTTGAGGCTTAGGGGGCTTATAGTCCCCCTTAAGTAGATAGAATATGGGGTATACGGGGATCTTCTTATAGTATACCCAAAGCCATACTCTATCCACTTCAGGGGGACTATACTTTAGGCTCCTGCAGATGTTAAGCATCGAGCAGCAAGAGCTTTCTTTGGAAGAGTTCTCAAAATTACGGGTGCCGTTTTCAGGGTTTCCAGGTTTTCAGTGGTGTTTTCAGCGGCGTATTCGCGAATCTTTTGGATGTATGATTTGGGCCTAAATTTTGAGAGGTGCCCAGTTCGCTTTCGTTTTTGGAGAGTTCATGGCAATCACCATGGCTAAGCAGCTGTGCTTAGGACAATCCCCCACCCAATGGTAATACAACAAGACTACAGGAACCCTGGTGAAGTCACCATTATTCTGAAACTATCCCTTGTGATCGTTATAATTGGGTGTTCTCACTAGTTTTAGTGGATGCTAGCGTCCAGGGTAAGATTTTGCGGTGTCCCGTTGATGCTATTTTTCACCCTAAACTTAAAGTCCACCTTAACTAGGTGGAATATGGCTTTGGCTATATTATAGTAAGGTAGGTCCCCATGTACCCCATATTCTACCTGCTTAAGGGGGACTATGCTATCTGGTGCCTTATTAGAAAATGAACATCTCAAGCCCAGCACCATGAAGCGCCAAGGAGGTTCTCCAGAATTCCACCTTACAGTCTATAGGGTTTTGGGTCTAAACTCCTTAACGGGGGTTAAATAGGGGGCTATATACGAGAGTATTATAGGGGTGATGCAGGGGCATACCAGGAGTTTAGACTATAACTCATTGTGTCAGTTGCACAATCCTCCGCTTTTTCATTTGTTCTAGAGCCAAGAATATATGGCTGCCTGACCAGGCGCATTGGTATGATAGAGCAATGGTCTAGCGACATAGTAGGCATCGTGCAAGATTTCACGAAGAAGGGGAAGTCAACAACTTCTCTGGGGACCATCCTGGCAAAGCAACCTAGATTTTTTTGCGAAAATTACATGGTTATTTCACACCTCAGGTTGACCGAGGATGAAATTAAGCTTGACAAACTCCAACCCTTATTTCCATATCCTAAACCCCTGATCGTCAATCCCTAATAAATACTCCGCTTTTCGAAATCATAAGACGGTTTAATGAGAGTGTCCAAAAGTGAAGGCCCCAGTCTAGACCCAAAAACACTATAATCCGTGTCATGGGGACCCCAAAGGGGACCCCTAATTTTTCCAAAGCCCTAAACCCGGCCTGTCTTTATATATCCCGATATATGTTTAAAGCGACCTTGATTGTTTGAATACCCACCACCCTAAACCCTATGAACCCTGAACCCTAAGCCCTAAACCCTATAGCAATAAATCCCTACACACTATGATTCCTAAGTTCTAAACCCTATGAACCCTAAACCCCATCAACCTTGAACCCTCAGCAAGTGTGTAGGGGGAAGTCTGGCGATCTAAGGCCGAGCGAGGAAAGCTGGGCCAGGTGCCCTCTTTTGGAGCCTCAGGTGTTACAGAGGTTTTAATAGGGTTTTTCATAGGGCTTTACAGGGTTTACGAGGTTGATTCAACCTCATTAAACCCCATAAAACCTTATAAAGCCCTATAAAAAATGATAAGACGTTTAGGGTTTGTGGTGAAGGTCTTAGGATTCAAGGCTTGGGGTTCAGGGCTCACGGGCCCCAAGCTCCTAAACTCAACCAAAATTATGGGTACCTCGCTATATGGTCCCGCTTAAGTAGATAGAATATGGCTTTGGGTATGTTATAATATGAGATCCCCATATACTCCAAATTCTATCTACTTAAGGGGGACTAGAGGGGTTCCATAACGAGAAGTATAGTCGTTTGGGGTCTATACTGAGGTCCCTCTATCTATGGAAAACTACCACTTATACCTAAACTGCGTCGGGCCAGAAGCTTGCCGCATTCTCGAAATGTAAGCAAACAACGCCCAGCCCAGTCACAGACTCAACCCCCTTGCCTGCCTAGACTCCCACCCTAAACCGTAAAACCTGAATCCCTAAACCCCTAAACCCTAAAACCTGAATCCCTAAACCCTAAAACCTGAATCCCTAAACCCTTAAACCCTACACTGGGCCTCGGGATCTCTGCGGCAACTAAAACGTACTGCGTGTTGCAACAGGGAATATGGGGGTTACATAGGGTTATACTGGGATAATGGAAAAAATGGACACTACTATATTGGGGTTATACAGGGAATGTAGGGTTATAAATGGCATGCGGGACCCCACCGCTACTCCGCAAGATTTTCGTATGCTTTTATGTACCCTAGACGGCCCCGAAGCTCAAAACTGTTGCTTCGTTGTTGTGCTCCTGTATATGAGCAGCCGAAGCGTGTAGAAGGCTGCGGCTAGGCGTTTGGGTATTTTTGCATCTGGGTGCAGCATTCCTCTGAGAACTAAATACGGACGGTGGATTGAAGGAGATAGGCCGCAGTTTAGGATTTGGGGGTTTATGGTTTATGGCTTCGGGATTTAGAGTTTAGGGTTTAGGGCTTAGGGGTTTCGGTTTTAAGGTTTTAGGACAGTTAAGTTAAGCCCGAACCACAACCCCAGAATGGGGATATACTGAGGAAGTTCATTGGGAATACTATAGGGTTGCACTCCCCCTTTCTTTCGCAATAAGAGCCCGGTACATATTCCAACATGGCGAACGAGATCAGGTGATTTTGTCAAGGTACAGTACAAGATTAGACCTAATGCAAACGAGATGGCGGGTCGTGTATTAAAGATGCCGCTAAGGCCCAGGTAATATAAACGGGCGCTCATAGAACCTGCAGAGCCTTATAACCCAATTAAAGAGCCCTCAAATCCTAAGCCCTTTTCCTCCCTCCTCTTGCTGCTGGCCAGGCCTACGAGACGTACTGCGAAGGTATCCAGCTACTTCTGAAGGCCGGCAGCCTCAGATGAGCTATAATCTACAGTGGAGTTTCTTTGGACCGTAAACTTCCAGCAAGAGTCGAAGTTGTTGCCTGGAGGTAGATGTAAAACTAGGCCTGAGAGAGGCAATAACTTCATTAAAGTCGGGCAAGGATCATAGCCACACTGAGTCCTGAGTGCATTCTGGAAAAGTAGACCCCCGCATGCATTCCACCTGCCCCGACTATTGATGGAGGGAATTGGGCAGCATGTAGGGATCCTAAAGCACACTAACTCTTACAATTCAAGCGCGCTTCTGGGTCATTTTTGAAGCAAGTTGAGCATGTCGTTCAACTAGAACCCAGAAAGGATTTCGACATTGCCCTTTCTAAATAGTCTGCTAATCTGGTAGTTTCCTAAACTAACGGGACCCTAATATAGATCCCAATATGCTATAATCCTTATTATAGGCACCCCCAATAAGGTACCCCTAATTTTCGGAAACCCCAATGTGGAACCAGGCTTCGGGTGGTGCTAGATTTCCTCCATCAACAGTCTGATGCCAGGCGATGCCGCGCCTGTCCGAGGACAACAGCTGGGCTCAGCGGGTCTGGATTTATCTTCGCCCTCTATAGGATTTAGGGTTCAGGAGTTAGCTTTTAGGATTTGATTTATTATCATTACTTAGGGTTTGGGTGTCATTTTGAGTTTAAAAGTTCGAAATTTTGAGATTAAGGAAATTTGAGAATGCTAAGTTTATGTGGACTTGAGGATTTAGAGTGTTGGGTTCGGGATTTAGGGTTTGAGAATTTGGAATACAGGGTTTAGGGTTTAGGGCTTTATAACTCACGCGACCTACTGTCCATATTGACGTTACCTAGGGACCATTAAGGGTGGATATAGGTGGTTTAGCATAGTCCCGAATATATTCCCTACTAGGAGCCCGCGTCCCTTAATCATGTGGGAATATTGATGGTACCTCAGATTCAGCCCGATTGGAGTAGCATTTTCATGGGGATACTAAAGTCCAATGGAGACTAAGATTAGCGAAGGGTCCTGGGTTCACGTAGACCCCAAATGGCTACTGATGCTCAAGGGGAAGTGGGGAAGTGCAGATAGGGTTTGTTGTAGGGGATCATATTGGGATTTTGATAAGGATCCACTCCGGCACCATTCACTGGGACAGTAGTCCATGAGGGCATTGAAACTTGGGACCCTTTTCAATACTGCCAACAAGTCCATGATGTGCCCGCACAGATCACACTTGAAAAGTGCAATTACCCGCATGACGGCGGGTGTTTCAGGCTTCCGGCAGGCAAGCCTAGATCAAAGCATAGAATCCTTGTAGTTGTTGTTAGGGGTTGGGGCTCTGCATATTCCTCTACCGGCGAGAGCAGCAAGGACCCAAGACCAGTTTGTCCTGACATCCTGTCAAGAAAATCTATGATGTTGTAGAGAAGCGCCATGAAAAGTGATTCACCACAACAACCCCATGGGCATGCCAGTAGGGTCTTGGTCGGGCATGTTGTATTTGGTAGAGACGTAGGCTAATGAACATGTTGATAGGCTTTTGTTAATCACCTGCCCATACTATTAAGCATGGCGCAGCCCCTGATGTTAGATAGTCCTTATAGGAGCTCGTATATATTTTGGACTAATATTCCAGAAGGGTGCGGGGTGTTTTTAATATGAGGAGAGAGTAATTTCAATGAATGGAAATTCCTGTAGTTTGATGCTGCGCCAGGCTCATAATCTAAAATTCCTGCCTTCCAAAACCGAGGCTTTAAAGGCTAAAGCCACTCACCCCAACCGCACAGCTCTACATCTCAAAACGCGAAGCTTTTAATTCCAATGCCAATCTGCGAGGTATAAACTCTAACGCCAAAGACCCGAACCCTAAGCGTTGCATCCTGCCCCCTGAAACTCTAAATTGTCAATCTCAACCCTAAACCTATGCAACAAACTCTGAACCCCAAACTCCAACCCTAACCTTCATTCCTAAACCCCAACCCCTCGACCCTAATCCACTCCAGCTAATATCAAATCCCCCCACCCTGTCTAACATTCAATATTCCCAATATATTATAAGCTACCCCATAATGGGAGCATTTTATATTAGGGGGGTGGGGGGTTCAATATTAGGGGGAGGGGATTAAACCCTAAACCTCACACCCAGGACACGGGCCCCCAGGTTGCACGACTGCGGAGTAAGATCAGCAAATACCTCGAAGAGGCCCAGGGCCGAATATAAGCCACACTGTTTCGGGTTAAGGGACTTAGGGTTAAGGATAATGGTTTAGGGTGAAGACTTTAGGGCTTTGAGATTTAGGGCTTAGGGTTTATGACATATGGTTAGCGATGAGGGCGTTAGGGCATGGGGTTTACGGCTTAGGGCCTGTGGTTTACCTGCAACCCCAAATGCTACATTTCAAGGCCTATAACTGCTTGGAAAGAAACCGCAGTTCGGATGAGCAGCTTCTGCTCAAGTTATAGTATGGCGTGTCTGTGTGCGTGTGTCCCCCTTGAACTCTAAACCCTTAAGCAGATCAACAACATATGAGAGTCCAAGGTACTTCCTGCAGATGTGAGACAATCCAGGCCCCATCTTCGACAGACAACACGCGGTTAGTAGGGAATCAGGGAATAGATTGATATTATATAGGGATGATGGAAAATCGAAACTACTGCGTTATAATAGGGCATGTGTTAGTAAAGCTGCTGGTGTTTGCATTAGTGTCGCCAGCACCCTTTCAGAGCCGACGCCAACAGCTTTCCGGACCCTCCAGTCGAATCACCGCTTACAGAAATAGTTAGCCCAGGCTCAAAACAGGATCTGCAAAAGACAACTTCATCACCAGCCCTATAGTTCCCCTTAAGTAGGTAGTATGGCTTTGGGTATATTATAAGGTCCCCATATACCCCATTTTTTTATCTACTTAAGGGGGACTATATGCTATTAAAACTTGAGCCACTCTTATTCCCTTATATTCCTGATTTAGCTATTGTAAAATGTATCCCAAAGCCTTGACAAACATAATTTGTCTCATTTTCGACATCCTGACTTCAGTCTGCATGATCCCAAAGCCCTGTTCCAATCATTTAGGCTTTTGCATTCTACCAATGCAGCCCCCACATCTGGAGGATGGGACAAGACAAGACCCATGAATAAACCCCTGAGAAGGAGAAACCTTTGAGCTACTGTAAATGGGTTGTTCTCAAAATTATGGGCCCCTTTGTGGTTGTAGATTACATTACGGCACTTAATATTTAGGGGTACCAAAATGGGACCCTAAGTTTGGGAACTACCCAAATACTAGGGTTTAGGGTTTTAGGGCTTATGGTTGCCCTAGCCTCATGAAGGGACCATGAACAGGGGAAATAGGGGCCCCCCTTGTAGTTTTAGTCCCTGCTGTACTTCCTACCATGGAGCCCATGTCCATTAACTTGTGTAGGAAATATTAATCTCCAAGCCCCGAACCCTAAGTAAAACAGTAGTATCGATTGCATTTTGCATTTGACTTTCCATTAAGTAATGTAGACCCCTGATCAATAAACCCCCTCCCCTAATGGGATTGCAATAGAGATCCTAATTTTAAGGCCCTCAGGAGGGGGTTTGTTTATCAATCATGGGTCTACATTATGTAGGAAATCTTGGCCGCTCAGCCTGACATCCCCTTGAACTGTAGCTTACTTGGCTCTGTGGAGGCCGAGTCTGTCAAAGAAGAGAGGGACCAACAAAGTCGCCAGGACCTCAGTCCAAGATGCTTTACTTGGAGGATCAAAGGGGACTTAGTAAGTAAGTCAAAAGCATGTTCTTTTGTGGCTACCGGGAGTTAAAAGTATACTTACAAAGTCCCCTTGGCTCTCCAAGTAGGGGATCCGCGTTAGACATAGCTCCTTGCTTGTGCCTATCCCCTCTTCGCGGCGCTCGGGTCCTACTATTCCAGCGCTTAGGGTTCAAAGTCTGCTCTGGAACTGTCTGGAGGCTGGGTCTAGATAGAAGTTTCTTGGGGTGCTTATCCAAAGCGCGTGAGCAATCAATGTTTAGGCAAACGCCCTCCGGACATCAAGTATGGCATAGAAAGAGCTCTATGCTAGGGGTTAGGGTAGGGTAATTACATAAAGAGTATAGTGGGAGGTATACAGGTGTATCTAGGGTATCCAATGCTTGTTGATGCCCCCAAATGTCTGCATTGTCCTGAGGTCAAGACAACGGTCGGGTCGAGAGCTTAGACGGCTTTGTGCTCTGACTGTTGCTTCTGCGGATTCCCAGCCCCCGGTTTAGGGGCTCTAGGGTCATGAAAGCATTTGAGTCACTATGCACGCATACAGGAACTATAAGGGGTAGCTTATAGGGATATAGGGGGTATTTAGAGTTTATCATAGGGATATAGGAGTTATATAGAGCATCTCATAGACAGGGATACATATGGATAAACGGACAATCAAATGGAAATGCACATGTAAGCCAGGGTTTGCAGGAAGATTTAGGGTTGAGGGTTAACTTTCTGGCGGTTAGAATAGCATGAACACGTGGAAAAGAACGACCATGTACTATTACGGTTATGTGGCCACTACTGTAGAGATCCATTTCCCATTCTCTACTAACAACCAGCAAGCCTTCTGAACTTCAATGTTAGGCAAGAGCAGAGCCCCCCCCCAGCGCTCAAGACTCCCAAGTAATCCAACCAACTGAGCCTCAAATGTACTATAGTCTAAACTCCTTAAAGGGGGTTTTATAGGGGATAATATAGGGGACTATTATAGGGGTTGTTAAGGGGGATACTAGGAGTTTAGACAATGGCTCAAATGGTTTCTTTCATTTTGGCTAATTTTCTGAGGGTCCATATCTGGAATCCCCAAGAGCATCTAAACAGGTACATAAGGTTCGGTGCTTTTTGAGCCAAGCAGAAATTCTTCAGGACCGGGGCGCTCGAGACCGGGACTTCAGAAGAGGCGGCTGCTGATGGTTTGTAGGCTTTGGGGTTTTTGGGGTGTTTCCCAAAATGTGGCGTACATCATCCCCAACAGAGATCCTCATAATCCACTTCTCATTGCTGCATGCCCCCTGAACAGATGCGTCATGGTTGGATGTTTTGAATGTTACTAAGACCGAGTAAGGATGACTATAACTTGTAAACAGCATCCCAATACCCAGAAACCAGAAACTCCGGGTCGGTGTATTTAAAAGGGGTACACCTTACTGGCGCCCGAGGGGAATGGGGCAGGGAGTATAGAAGTAACCATGGAGGATCAATCAGGAAGTATCTTTTGGTTTTACCGCAGGAGGGCACGTCAGATTATTCCGACATGTTAAAAACCAGAGCAAAACCCTCGCATGGATCGTAAGAGGCTTCCAGAGTGGGATCTACTCATGAACACCACCATATATCCTTCTTGATGCGGGGCGCGTTTTGATTTGAAAAGGATTTTGAGCCATGTTAAGCTATGGTTCTATAAGGGTTCTGGGGGAATTATATTGGCCATTATTCAGGCTTCACAGCACACAGAACAAGAGAGTTTAATTCTGAACCATGTGCATTAGTACAACAGTCATGGGTGCCCCTACTACCAGGGGGGTTCCTCCTTATTTATGGAAATATAAAGCGTGCAAAAGGTTTTTGATGCTAAAAGTCTCGCTGAACAAGGGGCAGGGAGAGGTGTTTTGTGCGGTGTGCCGAAAATCCTGCCCTTAGTACGTTAGACGCAGGGAATGTTGCAAGTTTGGGTTTTCTACTTCACAAGGTCATGCTTAGGATACACCATATAGTGTTGCTGCATGAGTTCGAAGACACTTCCTCAGGAGTCTAGCAAAAGTTTTACAATCCAAAACCAAGTCCTCAACCCCTTTACCGTCATTTTGGGGGTGCTTACCCCGACCCCCTAAAGTATCCCAGAAGTGGAACCCTTTAATCATCTCCTAGGTTTCCCAATTCAGTACTGGATCCTCGAGTGTACAACCCATATTCCCTCCGCCGCTACCCCTTGCACACCAGAAAATTATTCCCCCTAAACCCATAACCCATAACCCTAAACCCTCAACCCATAACCCTAAACCAAACCCCAAACCTTAAGCCTCCTCACACTTCGCACTAACAATGCGCCACACTCCCTATCCCAACAATCATGCTCCTTGTCACCTATTTAGGGTTTGGGATTTAGGGTTAAGGTTTAGGGTTTAGGGGTTTAGCGTTTGCGGTTTAGGGTTTAAGACTAATGCTCATGAATATGGGTATTTGGGAGATCTGGGTACCCCTTTGCGTCAAGCTGAGCCCCAACCAACAGCTCAATATCAAAATCCAGGCTGTAACCTAAGCCACGCGGTTTCGGTTCAGGTACGTAATGTAAGGATGTGGAGTTTAGTTCTTTCATGATTTCAACGCACTGGGGCGTTGAAGGGGTATAGGCAAGGATTACAGTACATCGGGCTTTGGGTTTGGGTGCCCAACTGTTGAAACCTCCACATCGAAACAGTGTATCATATTCTTTGATCAACAGTGCAAGGATTGTCTTTTTGAATGACTAGAAGCATCGTTTGTTATGATTCCCGCTAGCTGCTCGTCCAGAACAAACCATCCCGAAGTACATGCAGAGCCTTTCATTACACCACCCTGGTTTCAATTGCATTTTTCAGATTCTTTCACTGTTCATTCTCCATTTCTTAGCGCTTCAGGTATTATCATCCCCACTTATCCATATATGAACCGTTGTCAGGTGACCGGCGACCCTCGCATAGTCAGGACTCGGAAGGCCAAACCTTTTTTGCGGAGTTCCCCACAGAAGGCAGTTATAAAAGCATGGACTCAGTGGAAGGGATTATGTATTTGGGGTTTAGGGCTTAGGGTTTAGGCTTGGTTACTCGTCGTTGAAGTGAAAAGTATTTTCCAGTCCGTCCAAAGTTATGCAGATAAAGTTGTTTGCAACACCAATGTAAATGCCTGGGGTGGGGGGACCTGTTGTGTGCGGGTGTGTTTTGGTTTAAGGGGTAGCAGTTTAGCATACATGCAGCTAAAAGAGTGATGACTGCGTTCATGGCAACAGGAAGACAGATTTCGACAAACACACATTGCTGAGATCAGTGGTAATTCGGTCATTTATTCTGCCATGATCGCCCAACACGATGGGAGACTTTCTGCTTCAACAAATCCCAACGCGATCCTTGACGAAGACCCCTGCAATGTGCTGTTTGTCATGTCCTTTTTAGTTCCTAAGGGTCTCTAGTTTGCAATTTCAAGAAGATCAAGATGACCCCTGCACAGTTCTCCAGAATTGAGACGGCATCCTTAGAATCCTAAACCCTAAAAGCCTCAAATTTTGCGGGCGTGGCACTTCTACGTGATGTCTGCGTAATGTACATCCTACTGTGGGCGTGATTGAACACTTGTGGCAATCCCTATAACCTCCAACATATTCCCAAATGCCATGCAAAGGACGCGGCAGGCTCAGGAGTAGGAAACCGTAGGTATATTGAAAGTAGTTCCCGAAGACTTTGCATGGGGAATATGTCTCAATCAAAGCTGTGGTTGAGTTCTGGATAGGGCTGACGGATTTGCGTTTAGGACGTAGGGTAGGGCTTAAGGTTTAGGGTGTAGTCTAAGGTTGATATGGCGCTGAAACTGTGACAGTCAGGCCAACCCTAAACCCCAAAACCTAACAGTTATTAGACCATATTGAGGAAACCTCTCAGAGGTATTCAGAAAGTCTTAGATCTTGGTCACGGCATAACTTGATCTCCGCAACGACGGCCTTGCTCGTACATGGAGACTTACGGAACTTGAGAACTACTTACTGACACTCCTGTAAGGCCATGTAGGGCTCCGGGCTCATAACCAGGGTTCTTTTTCAGTTTAGGTAGTTACTGAATTCCATGAACCTTGTAGTAGCATTTTTTTCGACAGCAGGGCCACTCCCAGAGCCATACCATGGGCTCGCGTACCCATCACCCCTACCCTACCCCCCACCAAGGTTCCGTTTTAGTTGGCCTGAGCCAAAGGAAGTATAGAGAGCGGTAATCTCCCCTAATTAAGAAAAACCGAAGGTTAAACAATCCCACTATATTATAGTATACCACAGTTGCAGCAATGTAGAGGCCCTTTTCTAAGGGTCTTCCATTGAAATTCTCAAACTACACCAGAACATACCCCAAGCTTTATTCTTCCTGGTTTGCGACCTTACATAATCCGTTTCCTTTTCCATCTGATCCTCCGTTATTCTAGCTGGCTCGGCCTCCACTAAACTAACACCTACCCAGACCCCCTAAAGGATCCAAAAAATGGAACCCCCTAATATTCCCCTAGTTTCCCCAATGTAGTAATGGGTTCATATTGGGGGGGGTTCCATTTTTTGGATCCTTTAGGGGGTCTGGGACCTAGGCCCTAAACGCAGACATCTTTTCCTGCACACCAAACCCTATGCTTACTGGTCCTTAGGACAGAATTCGGGAATGTGATCCCTATATATTCCCTATATACCCCATTCCCTTATTGCCTACTGACCCTAAACCCTAGACACAAAACCGCAAACCCTATATTATCCTTATAGATAGTAGTTTCAATGTCCTTTTTCCATTCTCCCATCCGAACCAGGTCCTCGAAGAAATGGGCGCCAGAGCAGGTTCCTCTCAAAGGGATTATAACGTCGAAAGTCGAAAGTCCTTGAAGGTGGTTGGGTTTAGGGTTTAGGGTCAGCGGGACTGAGGGTTATAAGTGCTATAGTCCAAACTCCTCAAAGGCGGTTACATTGGGGATTATGGAGGGGAGGAATTCTTAAAGGGAATACTAGGAGTTTAGACTATAGCTCATAAGGTCCTAAAACTGGAGGTCTTTTGGGTCTGGTAGGACTCAGGGCATTTTGGGGCGTCTAATGTTTCCGATCTTTGGGTGTTAGAGTTCAGAGAGTCTGGGATAGCGGGTTGAGGTTTAGGAGTCAGAACTTGGGGTTCAAAGAGTTCAAGGCTCAGGGTTGACGGCTGAGAATGTGGGATTTTGGGCGCAGGGTTTTCGAGTTTGAGGTTCAGGGTTCGGGGCGTCGGCACTTTCAGGTTCACGAGGCTTCTTAGATGCTTCCACCTAAGGGAAGTGGAATTATAATGCTGTGTATAAATAGACAGTACTTGAAGGTTCACGGGACTTAGTATGATTTTCGTGAGGCTTATAGCCCTACTGATAATTGGGGTAACCTACATAAGTCCGTTGAGGGTGCTAATAGGCAGGGTTGAAAGTCCAGTTAGAACTAGTTACTAAGTACCGTGAATCTTCAAGTAAATAAGTCTCAAAGGGTTTGGTTCCTCAGAGACACTACCCAGACCCCCTAAAGGATCCACAAAATGGAACCCCCTAATATTCCCCTAGTTTCCCCAATGTAGTAATTGGTTCATATTGGGGGGGTTCCATCTTTTAGATCCTTTAGGGGGTCTGGGTAGGGGTGACATGCGATTGATCGTTAACTTAAGTCCAGCAGGTCTACTACACTCGAATCAGACTGGGGTGTCCTTTGAGGGGTTTTAGGGTTTAGGGTGTCCTGAACCATGTCTTTGGATTTGTGTCGTGTAAATCCCACAGCGAAAAATAGTTTTTGCGAGGGTTCCAAGGCAGATAAAGCAGCCCACACTTTGAACTTAATATTCCCAACCCAAAACTCCAAGCCCCAAAGCAGGGGCTGTTGTTTTCTTGCTGGTTGTTAGTTGGCTCCAAATTTCAAGCCGATCCCGTCGCTATTGCACACCCATCCTACCATGATCTACGACAAGACCCAGAGCTCGAAGGCACCCGCGAAGGCCGCGGTTCCAGCGCCAAAGCCGAAGTCTGGCCCGCTTGGAGGGTCATGATGGGGATTTGGTAAGTAGCTTAATAATGGGAATTATTGGGGTTATTATATGGCTTACAGGAGTTATTAAGCTACTTACTAAGTCCCCATGACCCTCCAAGCAGGGCCCCAACCGGCGCCGTCTGCCAACACCTCGACGTATGGGGAGGCTGACTCTGGAGAATAAATCCTAAACCCTTAACCCTTAACCGTGTGGCTCTGCAGAAGTGCTGCGAGGCATCGAAGAGGCCCTCTCGACAAGCTACGCAAAGCTGTCTGCAAAAGATCAGCAGGAGAGATCCGCATCTCTCCAAGTCCGAAGTGGCTGCTAACAAGGCCGGAAGTTAGCAATTTGTGAAAAAGGATCCGGAGTTTCTTTTGTCTTTTCCATCCCTGCACTCCCCGGTAGCAACCAGCAGACAATCTCTCAACCCTAATTCCTAAAACCCTAAACCACTAACATCTAAGCAAGAACCTGATTCCTGAAGCCTAGACCCAAAGCCCTAACTGGTAATCCCGAGCCTTAACGCCTTAACCATAAACCAGCAAGAAGCAGTGACGCTATCGTCAGCCAGGAGTGGACGACGGTTAGAGCTCAGGAGCGCTGCTGAAGTCGAAGACGAAGGCGCAGGGTTTAGGGTTTAGGGTTTTAGGGGTTCAGGGTTTAGGGATTAGGGCTTTAAGGTTTAGGGATTTAAGGTTTTAGGGTTTTAGGGCTTAGAATTTGGTTTCAGGGATCTCCTTGGGACTTAGCTTGGACCTTAGACCCTCAACCCTTTGGGATTCCCTTATGTTCCTATTATAGGTACCTTAAGGGTTAACCCTTAGTAGGGGTCCTAAGTGCCACGTAGGGATTTTAGGGTTTAGGGTTTAGGGCTTTGGGCAGGGATCCAACCTTCCCCGAACCTTTCGGGGTTTGGCTTCTTTACAGGTCAGGGATTGTGGGTTTAGGGATCAGGGTTTGGGGATGAAGGTTTAGGGATTGGGGTTCGAGGCTTAGGCCGCTGACGGTTAAGGGTCTAGGGATAAGGGTTTGGTTTAGATCTTAGGGGTGTGGGTTTGGGGAATTAGGGTTTACGACTTGGGGTTGTGTTACCCGTGATTCCTGTATAACCTTTATAAAGCCATAAGAGGTATTGTTGTTGGCCCCCAAACCTACCCTACTAGGTTGCGGGTGAAGGGTTGAGTGTTCTGGGATGACTTGCCTGTTGTCAGTAGGCAGGAAGGGAACAATGTGAGTTACTGTACAGTTGTGGAGTCTACTGGGGCTGCTACAAGGGTCAGTGATTCCCTATATTCAGAGTAGGATGGGTTTCGACAACCTCTGCTCCTTAATCGGAGGTTCCTGGGACCTAGAGCCACAGCACACCCCGCGATGCTATGAGGCTGACAACGGTAGTTTCCCAAAATGGTGGGGACCCTCATATAGATCCCAACATTTAATGGTCCTTATTGTCGAGACCCCCAAAAGGGTAACCGTAATTTTGGGATTCCTCAATGGTGTCCCGATAATGATACCTATATTCACCCCACTGCCCCTTAAGCTAATCCCACAAAGCCCAGCAAGTTTAGGATGACATGGAGCCCAATAAAGGTTCCTTCAACAAGAACATGTAGTAGTCTGCCTACGGCCCCTTTCTTGAGTCGTTGTTGGACATAACGTCCAGTCTTAGTACACTTAAACCAAAGGAAGGGTATGATGGTAGTGGTTTTGCATAATCCAAACCCTAAACCCTCAACCCTAATAATAAAAGCCGTTCCAGGTGCCCTGCTTGTCCAGCCTGGTCTTCCAATGAACCCATATGGCCAGGTTTGTTTGGGGAAGGTATGTCCTACAATATCCTTAGGTGGACCCCCCACCCTGTAATAGTGACTATAGGGGATAAGAGGGATCATATTAGGGTCCTCTTATATTCCTATTATACCACTATTACAGGGTGGGGGGGTCCTCCTATAATCTCCCTTTCGCATGAACCCTTTCCTCACACTTACCTGTAGAGATGCACACAAAAAGCCTGAGATGAAGAGGGCCATCAATTCTACAGGAGCTTCTCGAAACTAAATATTTGGCCTATAAACCCTGGACATCTCGAATTCCGGTGTCTGCACCTTGCTGCTCAAGCCACTCAAACATGAGACTTTGTGGACAATAGTACAAAGTCCCTAAAAAGATGTTGAGATGCCTGGGGTTGCGATCTTTATCAGCTTCAGAAACATGACGGGCTTGCACTCTAAAGCAACAACCAGAGTTTGCAATAGCTCTATCATCTTATCTCATGTAGACCCCTGATTAATAAACCCCCTCCCATTAATGGAGATCATAATAGGGATCCTAATATTAAGGCCCTTAAAAGGAGGGGGGTTATTAATCATGGGTCCCTAACCCTAAAACCCAAATAGTAGTTTCCATTTTCTTTTCCATTATCCCTATGTATCCCTATATATCCCCTATATAGCCCTAAACCACTAAAACCTATTAATCATGGGCCAACTTAAGCCCTTTGTCATTCGCAATAGGGATTCCAAAGAGCTTGGTTCAGGGAGTAGCTCACCTGACTTGAGTGGGATCTTTTCTAAGATATCTTCCCTGCTTGGAGACGGAGGAATGAAAAAGGAATTCCTGAACCCAAAACCTTACGCCCAAACCCTAAACCTCAGACACCTGAACCCACACCCAAAACTCTGCACCCCAAACACTTCTGGGGTCCCTAGAGAAACCTGCACTGCGACCATGGCCCAATGCCCGGCGGGTACTGGGGAACTGGGTGTTCTGTGGATGACGCTGCTTCCAGGTTGGGTTCTTTAGGAGTTGGGGTCCCTTTTTAAAGGGCTACTAAAAGAAGATATGGGTAATATAGGGGTATGTAGAAATGATATTATAGGGTCAAGTAGGGTTTGGGGTTCAGAAGTGAGGGCTCGGGGCTTTGGGTTTCAGGGTTGTAGGGCTAAGGGTTTGGATTTTTGTTGGTTCTATGCTTTGTGTGTAGGGGTTGAGGTTTAGGAGTTTGAGTTTAGGATTCAGGGTTTATAAATTATTTGGCTTTTGCGTTTAGTGCTGCGGGTGTCCAGCTTTCAGTTCAGGGTTCCAGGTTGGGGTTGGGAATACCGATTTCTTGATGGAGAATGAAGGAATGAAAAAGAAGATGGGAACTGACTTTCCCAAAATTGGGGTACCCCAATATAGACCCCAATATATTATAGTCCTTGAAATAGGGACCCCCACAAGGGTACCCCGAATTTTGGGAGACCCCCAACGACTGGATGTTTGGGAAGGGTAAAGCCAATCCGCGGACCCATGCCTCCATTCCCGACTGGTATCCACTACTTGGAGGCCTAACTACTTAGGTCCGCTTAAAGGGGCTATAGGGCTATACTTAAGAGCCTCCGGCT